GTTTTGTAACAGTAAATTTAAGTTTCAATAAATAAAAATTATATAGTTATTAATTTAAAAATGTATATTAAATCCAATTCTGCATTTGTTCGTTGCATACTCATTACTAATTCCTTAAATATTCATATATTTATACTATTACAGTACCATAGCACTATACTAAATCCTTACTTACATATTCATGTACTGTACTTATTACTACACAATATTACATACTTACATATTCATATACTACTTACTACTACAAGGTACTGTACTACATACTTAAATATTCATATATTTATATTACATGTACGGTATAGTCATGTGCTTGTACTGTTACAGTACTATAGCACTATACAGTATGTTTACTTAGATATTCATATACAGTCGACCCCCTATAACACTGTTGATAATTCCATTTTATATGAAATCCATGTTGTACGAGTCACTTAGATTTTACAAATATGTGTGCCGGGCTGTGAATGGCTCACGTATTTGTAAAATTTAAGTGACTCGTACAACATGGATTTCATATAAAATGGAATTATCAACAGTGTTATAGGGGGGTCGACTTGTATTTTGTCTATTTTAAAAAACTTTATCTGTTTATTGATTTTGTATAAATATTTATTGTAAAATATAAATATATAATTCTAAAAATATATTTAAATATATTAGAAGAGAAGAAATTAACATAAAAAATTTCAGATAGAATCTTAAGCGAAATTCTTATCTAGAAACTAAGGGTAAATAGTCATCAACTCCTTAATTTATTTTTAATTCGCTAGATCAAATATACTTTTAACTATTTAATTCTTCGACCGTAAACTAATTAACGATTAATTTTTAATAAATAAATGTCATTAAATTATAGATTTTCGAAGCTTTCATCTCGGATGAAAGTTGCTGAATTTTGATATTAATTTCAATAGAAGAAATACTTGTATTTAATACTTATTCATATTTTTTTGTTATAAAATATTTGTTGGTTTATCAAGAAGATATAAAATTCAGTGAGTTTAAAATATTAAAACGATGATTTTTACTAGTTTCGGCATGAAAATCATTTCTAGAAGCCATCTTTAAATGCGTCTAGACTGAAGAACAGAAGAGAGTGAGAGATGAGGAAGAGGATAAGAAGAGAGAAGATGGAATAATGGGCTATTCTTTGTTCAGACAGTGATCCAAATTATTCTTAAATTTTATAGAATTTCTTAATTAAATATAATAAAAATAAACATATTTTATAAGCAATGAAGTTTTATTGCTTCTAGCATAGTTCTTCATTTTGTGAAATATGTTTGGAGCCTCTGATGATGGGCTTGTCAGCCCGAAAGTGCTTAGAAGTTTGTATGTAATTAGTATGCTCCTGGAAAGTAATTTTATAATATTTCTTCTAGTATTATACTAATGATTATTAAGAATATGAATATATTATATAAGGTTATATACAGGAGCATACTTATATTCGTGTGCAAAGCCAGATCTTTCCCCGAATCTGGTTAAAGCTATGAAATTACGTGTTAAAGCTTTACATTCTCATAGATTCTACATCAAAATTTTAATATTTTTAACCATTTTAACTAATTAAATTTATGGATAAAACCATTCAGTTTGTTAATCTGCGACATCTTTCCTTGTTCGAAACATATTCTGTATAAAAATAAATCATATTAAGCACGTATAATTAATATTAAACAATTAGATTTTTAATCGTAAAGTAATTTTACAATATTTTAAATGTTCTTAATCTATTTATTATGTTCTACCCTTTATTTTCATTAGCGGAATTACTCCAACGCATTACTAATCGATAGCAATTAATTTTACTGAGTAATATTAATTTAGAAAATTTTCCTTATTAAATAATTATATGACTTACTTGCAAATACTGTTAATACTCTTCTCATTTAATAAATCCCTTTTAATTAAATGATAATTTGCAAATCATGTCACAAATATTTCTCGAAATTATCTGTTCCGAATCATGAATGAATACTTGCAAATTCTCTTGTTAATATTATATTAATTCTGTGTATAATTTAAATATATATATATATATTTTTTAATGGGTGTGTTACGTAAATTATTTAAATAAATAAATAAAAATAAATAGATTCTCTAATTAAATAATTAGCCCATTGAAAATAGGCTTAATTATTTATGTAGAGAATCTCTAGTTAAGTAGACACTCTCTCATTCATTCCTAACTTGTAAACGTTATAATTTAATAAAGGTGATAAAGTTGTTGTTGGAATTTTCTGGCATTTATTTCTTTTTTGAAAATTAAACAGTTGCATTAGTAAAAAAGTTTCATAACCTGGAGGCCTTTTGTGATATGATCCTCACCCCCTTAATATCTTCCGAAGTAATGGTACGATTTTCGTGAAAGTTCCCATAAAAATTCTCCCCTAACACACAAATCTCCCTGTAAAATTTCAGAAATTTTCGACAAAAAGTACAAGAGTTATTAAGCTTCGAAGTGGATAAACAAAATCGTCCCCCCATACACTAACATTCATACATACAGAAAACCCCCCCCCAAATATTTTGATTTCTCGATGTTTCAGTCAAAAAAAAATGTAAAATAAATATTGGGGGGGTTTAATTTTTAATCGATGGCACATCTTCCCTATGTTATATAACAGTGGGGAAAGTAAAATTCAGTTCGATTTACGAATGGATTGATATAAACACCTTTAATCAACAAACCTTTCAAGGTTTGAATTAGATAAATGCCATTTTAATGATGACCGAAGCACAAAGAAAAACATCTAACTTTGTAGGAAGACTGAGTTAATTTAATTTATATTCAGATTTAAATATCAAGAAATGTATTTATAGTAACAATTTATAGTAATATTACTATTTAAATATATTAATATATTTATACTAAAAAACACGATAAATATATATAGAATAAAAGTCTTGGGTTCGCACCTCGCCAAAGGGTTGGCCAAGTTGAATTTTTGCGGATTTTCTTCATGTTTATAACGTAAAATATATGAAATGTCAAGGGCAATCGGCCAGAAAATGATCCTCCCTGACTTACATTTTTAGATTCGGGCACCTTAAAACGTCGAGTAACAGATGGCCCACACATAATTTTAACTTTTTTTGCCGGGAAAGTTATGCAGCTTGTTGCTAGATTTCTCATTTACGCTGAATTTAAAAGTGTACAAGAGGTTCCAAAACTTTTATGACTGTCTTTCAAGGATTCGTTGCCCTTTTATAGACTCCTTTTTTATTTCCATTTATTTATTTGCTAATACAGCTACTGTAATAATAAATTAATCTGGTGAGCCAGTATTAACACACACACACACACACCATTTCCACAGAAAAGATCCACTTAGTGTGCAAATTTACATCCTGACATGTCATATATAGTACATATCTCATTGGACTTTTTAATTAACTGTTAACCCCGACTAATCTTCAGTCCCATTTTCATTCTATATTTAATTTCATATTCATATTATGTTAAATGAAATAATTTATGGAGCTAAGTTAATATATATATATATATACAAACACATAGTAATTTTAAATCGATCATAGATCATATGCTAGATTCTATATTAATGCATTAATGCAAACAACACAATTACACTTTCATATAGCCTAAAGTAAAACCTGTGTAAACCGGAATCTCACGGTAACGAATATTTTTTCTGTTTTGGCAGGTTTTCGTTTAATTCAGGTTCCATTTTGGACAGGTTTTACTGTATCATATGAGATTTACTTATAATAGGAAGGCTAGACGGCCAAGAAAGTTAAGGCGTCAGTTTACGGCTCTGTGGAATCAGGAGGCATAATACCCCTGTTTTCTCGTGTGCGGTCAGTCCCAAATATGTTACCAGTGGCCGAGTGGATAAAATCACTAAACGTTGGTAATGCCTCAACAACGGGATGGCCACGTGGAGTTTTTGGGGTTTTCTTCACGTGTCTAACACCCAAATAGTCCTCTCGGTGAAAGTCCTCCAGGGAGGCACTTCCTTCTTGACGAGTTGTGTGTGTTGCGTTACCTCATCCAATCTAATCCTGGATATTTTGGTGTCGTTCCTCATCACTTGGCATTCTCCATTGTGGTCTTGCCGAACCTACGATAGCTACGATTAAAAAATCCCTCTTAGTGCTTACAAAATAATTAAGAATGAGGTTTTAAAAAAATCAAGTTTTCAATAATCAATTATTACTTTTAACAAAATAATTGAAGTTAATTGATTCATATAAATCGATTTAACGATTAATCAATTATTCATTTTTTGTATTGGTTCATTAAAATTCACCGTTTGGCAATTCGTTAATCAATACCCCTACGATAATTAGTGGTAAGGATCTATATATTTTACGATGATTTCCCCGAATACTATTAGTGATCTTGTAGAATACTTTGCCAAATAGCAATTTATAATAATCAATTGGCCTGTGACAATTAATCGTATTTAGTTCATTATAAGTTAATTTGTAGTATAGAGTTTTCCCTATCTTAATTGCTTATAATACCTTTTCCAAATTGTTTATCCATCAATTATCGCCTTTAACAAGTGACCATTATTTACAATTCTTGTATATTCGGAAGTAATAATAAATTATTCGAAATCTATATCTCGATTTTAATAATCCATATATTGTAACGCCAACTCTTTGTGTTTTTTTAATTATTTTATGGAATATTCTCCCGTACTTTAATGACAGATTATATAATGTTTTATAAAAGATACCCCTTTGATCCCTTGATACGGATTCCTTGGCGTTATTATAAAGTTATTTTTATTAACTTTTATTTTCTAAGTGAATGAAATTTAGTATTTCTTACCAAAAATAATCCAACAACGAGTTGATAACATTCCCTGCTGTTATGGGATTTTATTTAAAAATAACTTTTATCATCAATCATAATAAATAAAATTGTATGTGGCACCATCTGTTATTAAATTTCATTATAAATTTTTTTTGAAAATAATCATTATAAAAAGAATTAATTTTTAGAGTAGTGATGTTTTATAAAAAGGAAAAAATTGTAAATATTAATAACGAGTAAAATCTTCATTAAGTCCGACCCCTCTCGAGATATGATAAACTATGTCCTATCCGCTCGACTTTTAACCACGAAAATTTAATAGAATCAAAGGTCCTTATACACATGCTACCGTGCTAAATTTCGTTTCTTAACCCATGGCTGAGTGCCTGGGCTTTTAAATATTTCGGCCTTCTCCGGCACTTTAATCTTTCACTCCAGTACAGAGGACAGGCAACCTGATCTTGGTATGGTACAGTACATACCAAAACCGCAGTACACAAACCTACATCCATTTTGGGAGTCTTTTGAAAAATCTTATTCAGAATTTTTTTATACTTTTAAAATTGACAGGCCCTGGGCTTCGTCTAGTCAGCCTTATGAATAAAACGATCCTGAAACCCCAGGCAGATTTCGGGGGATTTTAAGTCACGAATATGTTGGACCTCGTCCCTCTACACTAGGCCTTTCTTCTTCCGAGCCTGGCCTAATCCATGAAGGATATGGATAACAGACCTTCTTAGTATCACCAGCCAGCGACCGAGTGGCCAATACTATTGAACACTGGTAGTTGGTCGCGGCTTTGCGCCACACCAAAGGACAGGCCACGTGGCATTTTCGACTTTCTTTCTCCTGTCTAACATCTAAATAGGCGCCAGTTTCTTATAGAAGCACCTCTTTGGCGAATCGTCCATGTTTTATGTTGCCTTTTTTCTATCAATCCAATAATTCAATCCCTCTTAGTGTCCACAGGACGGAAAGAGCGATCGTGTTTCAAACACTACTTACTTTATATATTTTTTTTTTAAATGTCAATAAGATTTTTATTATTCTTAAAAACTTTATGATTTATCAATAGCAATTTTATTTTCAAATTAAAATACAAATTTTCTATTGTTTTATAACTGATTTACTAAATCGAAATAACTTTTTAGATGTTTTTGGATGGGGTTGCTTTAAGGCAGTAGGTTTTACTTCTCCCAATTTATTAATTTTTAAAGGTTCTACATAAGAAGAATAACTTCTCGGTTCTGCTAAATCCCAAATTCTATCACTGCAAATGGCTTTCAATGCTGGTTTCTTTACTTGAAATTTAGTTATGTCGTATATTAGATGTAAATTATCTGCCTTCTGGATTGGTTTGCTGAGTTCGATTATTTTACCAGATGGCGTATAATTCAGAGCTGACTTTTTAATATAAGGTTCTCTTATTAGATTACGTAAAGAAATCGGTTTGGGTTTAGATAATTCCAAAATATTTAAACTTGGTTCGTAGTTTATCGCTTTCCGAGATATCTATAACGTAAAAATGCATAATTAGAAGATAATTTTTGATATACAACCACGATATATATTTTATAAAGTATTTTCAAGAAGTTAGCCTCAATGCAAGGATTTTTCATGAACCGTCTATCCCGGTACGTCGTATTCTTTCCTTACCACTTGGCCATTCCCATGGTGGGTCTGGCCGAACCCACGATGGGTATGCAGAAAGTTCTTTTGGTGTCCACACGGCGGAAAAAGCCAAATATTATATATATTATAGTTTGTGATAAGAAAGAAACATTTTGTGACGTGTCAACCTTATAAATAAACTCGAGCAATCAAAATTCTTGAAGGTCTTCGAATAAGCAAGAAGTACGTATTTTAAGAACTGAAAGCGCGAGCAGCAGAATCATAGTTTCAAATAAAAAATTTCCATTCATTGAAATAGGAAAAGTGTTGTGCTTAGTCCGAGCCACGATAGAGTCGAATGGAATGATAGAAATATGCTTAGCATGATAATGGATATAACTCTTTCCGTCCTATGGGCACTAACTAACAAGTAAGTTAGTACTCACCACTAAAAGACCGTATTACTTGACGGTCTTTCAGCAAGTTCATTATGGATTCGACCAGACCTACAATGGGCCATCGGGAATTGAGTAGTGAGATCTAACATTAAGTAGCTGAAACCGTTTCACAACGACAATCGTTGCATTCAGTATCGTCTCCCTGAGCTCTCTAGAGTGAAAAGCTGCCACCTTAACCTTTGCAAGCTGGCCATCGACTTCAAATATTAAAACCAGATCTCGATTATTCAAGTATGGTGCCAAATATCGAGGAATCGTCACGAAATTTTTTAACGACGAGCGATGCAATCAAAGTATCAAACATTCAGCCACCCCTGCGGGACATTAAGCCAAGGGAGCAAAGAAAGCGGGGCTTAGTTGCTTATGTACAAATTCTATTAAGAAAAGAAGCATTCGAATACGTTTAAGATCTAGTCTGCTTCTTTTTCTGTCGCTTTCAACCAAAGATGCCAAAGAGGTATTGGAGGTATTCGTTGTATTCGAATTTATTTATTTTTTATCCAGTCTTCGAGTATCTGAGTATTGCAAATAGTATTCTCCCATCTCTAATTTTATTTTAATCCAAACGAAAAAAGTGATCATAAAAATTTGTATTTTTGTAATCAAGTTGAAAAGTATTTAGAAAAATTTCTAAAATATGACGTTCCAAATACAGAATTATTATTGGGGCAAGTTTGTATACAGAATTCTCTCTCTGGAGACTAAGGATTAATTAATGAAATGTAATTGCAAAAAGATGTGTACAAATAATTCTTGCAGATATAAAAGAGTTAAGTCAATGTTCAGCGCTGTAAATTTCAAAATGTCGCCTTTTTAACTCTTGCTACAATAAACAATACTTTTTATCCGGATGGGGATGGTCGAGGCAGTTAAGGCGTCATCTACCAGGGGACCCGAGATCGAATCCGCATGAGCAACTCTCGAGGATTTTTTCATGGACGGTCTGGTTGGTTTTGATAGAATACAACAATGCAACTCACGGGCGATCTACCAAAGGAATGTAGTACCTCCCGGGAGGATTTTACGTAAAATTGTCCCCTGTTCATGTGTTTGACAAATGAAGAAAACCCGGAAAACGCCTTGCAACCAGCCCATTAGTAAGAGGCGAACATACAACCAAATACCAGGGTTCGGAGATTTTATCCACTCGGCTACTGGTAGGTCCTGTTATGAGCATATCTTACATACCTGTGGTTTATCTTCCAAAGTAACTCTTTGTTTTGATTTAGGAAGAGCTAATTCTCTTATTCTCTCTGATAAAAAGTAACTACGTTTTTCAAATGATTTTTTCTTTTGAAATATTTGCCATTCTTTTAATTGATATTCATATTTTGATCTAAAGAAAAAAAATATATAAAAATATTTTTAAAAGCATTAAAAAGTAAATATTTAAAGACATTCTCCGATCGGATGATGGGACGTTTAATTTGCCAACCTGCGACTCTGGGGAACCGGGTACAAATCCGGACTGGTTAAAAACTCTTAGAAATTTTTAGGGTTGGTCTACCCTGGATATGTCAGATCCCATCCCTCATCACCTGACCCCATATGAAATCCCTTTTGGCATCTGTCAGGAAGGGTTTCTTAGTATCCAGGGCATAAAAAAATACCGAAAAAGTATATCGATATTTTTATCATTTTGCAAAAAATTAAAACTTACCTGCTTAATTGTTTTATCTTATCACTCAATGGCTTTATATTTTTCTTAACGTGAAGCATTTCTCTACTACTTCTAAAGAAATGTCAACCATAAATTACAAAATAATAATATTTTTTACTCAAATAAATTAAACGTAGTCTTACCTAATTTGAATATTATCGGATGTTCTTCGTTTTGGATTAGCAAGTTCAACAATTTTTGCCGAACAATTTGCTGTTAACGCGGCATTAGGAATTACAATAAGAACGGAAGGGCACCCACAAGAGTATTGGTATAACGGCCTGTAGAGAATTATAATTTTTTATATATGTAAAATTAGTTAAATTTAAGCATTTAAATCAAATTATAAAGTTTACTTTCTTCTTAAGGCATCTGATTGTTCTCTATATCTTGGTTTAGCCAAGCAACAAAGACGATCCGATGCCCTGATTGTCAGTGCTGAATTTGGAATGGGACGAATGAGACTTTGATTACCCCATTCTGTAGGAAAATTTGGGGGTATGTAAGTGGGTCTTGGTTGAAAGAGTTCTTTTCTCAAAGCAAATTTGAATGAAAGATCTGACATATTTCCTAGGGGGAAAAAAACCTAAATTATTAAATTAAAATATTTAATTTACCTTACGCATATTATAAATAATTTGAAAATAAATTACATAATATTTAATATCGAATTTTAAAAATTAAATTAAGTACAATAAATAATTCTAATGAATATTACCATTTAACAATTTAAAATGATTTTTAATTGTCAATATAAATTTTTAGAAAAACACTGAATGTATTTACTTAAACATTGTTAATACTCTGTATTGTTAATCCGAAAATTGTCTTTGTTTCTAAATAACATAACACACCGGCCGAATGGCCGAGATGTTGTAAGCGTTAGCCTACAGCTCTTTTCTTTTTAACTCTTTCCGCTTTATGGGCTCTAAGAGGGCCTCTTTTAGCAAGCTCATTATGGGTTCGGCCAGGCCCACAATGGGACGGTCGGATAGTGAGGGACGAGGTCCGGCATATCTAGACACACCACCCCGAAAACTTCCTGGGGATTTTTCGACCCGTTCGGATTTGATCCCGGGTCCCCCCAGAGCAGTAGGTTGCAACCTTGACCGCTCGGCCATCCGTCCATCAGCCTAAAGCTCTGTGAGATCCGAGAACAAATCTAAGCTAGTTAATTTCCCGGGAATTTTTTATGGTTGATCAATGCTTATTATTTGGGTTTCGTCTTTCACTACCCATCATCCCACTGTGGGTCTGGCCAACCTCACAATTGGTAAGACTTAAAAAGTTCTCTTAATGCCCACAGATCTGGAAGAGTCAAAAATCAAAGAATACTACTGAAGTCTGAATAGTTTCTCTAAGATCCTCATCATAAAACATGTCCGTTATCGGGTTGTTGGCAGACCGAATCACTGTATTATTCCATGCACTTTTCTTGATTATATTTGGGCAAAGAGGAGTCGCTTTGTACAGTCTTGCCTCCTCCTTTTGTTCTTTCATCAGTTGATTTGAATGAATTAAAATTAACCTATGAAATTACCCTATGAATTACTTAGGATAATGAGATTTCATGAAAAGTGAATGGAATGATATACTCAAAGTGATTTGAAAATTGATTGTCCGATTAATTTAGCGTATCCTAAAATTCGCATATGCGGATTGATATCAATTTCTATTGGTTATTTTTGTCACATACTATTAATATTACGAGCGCCATGTTTCAGTTTGGTTTATTTGGTTAACACGATACGTGGGCAGTCTGCCGAGGGAGATGTCTCTCTGGAGGTCTTTCTATAGGGAACTGGTCCCTATTTAGGTGTTAAGTTAATAGTAATTCGTTCGCTCACAGCACTTAATAGAATGATAAATTATACGTATCAACATGTCTTCAGTAAAGAAAAAGTACAAAAGTAAAGTAAACCAATGATTGAAGATTATTTTTTAGATTATGCAAAAAAAGAGATAAAATTATAATAGTGTTATAATAATATAAGTTAATTCTTCGCGAAAAGAAAATACATGCTAATATAATTAGGAATATGTGATCAATGTCGGCCGAATGGCCTGTCGGTTAAGATATCAGCCTACCATTTTGGAAACCGTGGATTGAGCACTTCCAAGTCTCGCTTATGCCGGGTCCCATTTCTTACCACCCGGCCGCTCATCGTAAGGCCTAACCAAATATTTGAAGATTACAGAAAAAAAAAAGCCATCTTAGAATATACAGAGCGGAAAATTTTGTTTATTTGGTTATGGCAACTCAACACGTGGGCGATCTGCCGAGGGGAATGCCTTCCGGAAAAGCTTTTATGGGGAATTGACCCATAATTACGTTTTACAAACGTGAAGATAACTCGAAAAACTCCACGTAGCCAGCTCGTTAGAGAAGTGCAAGCCCGTGACCAAATACCAGTGTTTAGTGGTTTTATCCATTCGGCCATTGTTGGGCACCAGAGTAACAGGAGTTACAAATAAAAAAAAGAATAATGTATTCGTATAAATAAAAATGCTTTTGTATTTGGAAAATTTTCAGGATTATTTTAGAAAATATTAATAATTTATTGTACAATATATAAATTATATAGTACAAAAATTTAACATTTAACTTTTTATAAAATATTTATTATTCATTTTTTTTATATTTCGTTATTACAAATTGATAAATAAATTCCATTTTTATCAGTTTTATAAATTGTATCATAACTAAAACTTAATTTAACAAATAGCTCAAATGCTTTTAAAAATAGCAAATATGGAGGCGGCCATATTAATTCACAAACTAGATAAGAAAAAATAAAATTAATGAAATTTTAATAAAATCACATTTTAAATGTTCGTAATTATTTATTTTATTTTATTACAAATTATTTTATATTAATTTAAATGAGAAAATATTCGAAATTTAAGGAAATATATTTACTCTTTTTTTTTTTTTTTTGGCGAATTTAGGTCGGTAGTTCGCGTATTTTTTCAGCCATGTTTGGAATCTGTCAGTTCTCTAAGCCTTATTAGGAGTTGTGGAAATTGCTTTTATCGACATGTAGAAGATTTTTAAATATTAAAACTTGAAAATTAAAAATAGTTATCGACGTCATTTTCTCTCTATTGGTGTTTTCATTTCGTAAGTTAAATAATTATGTGTTTTGTTCTGTAAAATATGTGACGTAATATACATATTTTTTAAATTGAAATGTATGTAATTGACAATTTTTTTGAATGGGATGTAAATAATGAGGGACCTTCTGCATGCAGCAGTTTTCAATGTATTTTTCACGTAATTTTCTAGCATATATTTAGTTTCTGAGATAAAATGGAGAAAAACAGAAAAATTTTAAGACAATAATACAATTATTTTAAGAAAAAATATAAATAATTACTTCAAATAAAAAACAAAAAACTTACTTGGAAAGATTAATAGGTAGAAGCTACTTTTAGATGATTTATATATAAAAATAAATTACTTAAAGTATATATATTCAGTAAATATGTATTAAAATGGCTTAAAAGTAGCTTCTGCCATGTGAAATATACAGGATATCTAACTCTACCAAATTTTTTATCTTTATCTTATAATCAGAGCTGGATTTAGATTTGTCACAACAACACACGAAGCCCTTCCTTCCTTCTTTGCCAAGTAATAATTGGTAATGTGTGTGTGTGTACTGGGGTCCCTTTGAGTTAGAATAAATATTCTAACAGATTTTAATCATAAAAGTGATTGAGATGTGTAATCTTACACCGTCAGCTGTGGGATGTTTTGTCTGTCCTTTTTTTTTTTTTGATGCAATACTGTATTCTATAATCTACTTATAAAAGATCCAAACAGATACATCAATAAATTTTTATTTATTTATTTATTTGTCTTCAAGTTTTGTCCCCCTGGAAAATTTTCTGTGGATTCCCATGAAGTGCACTATGTGTAAACTGTCTGAGAATAGACCAAGACCCCTCTCATAATATGAGGCCATAAACTATAGATTTCTTAGCTTATACATAAATCTGGCTCTAATTATAATTATTATGTTAATTTAAAAGTAAATTATTCATATATAATAAAAGCTTTAAATACGAATCATTTTTCTTATAAGAATGTTGATAATTTGATTAAATAATGAATAGCAATACTTATCACCTTATTCATATAATAATTTTGGAATGGGATGAAGATTAATATATTATTTTTATAACCACTTAGAAGGATTTTCTTTTTGGACGAATAAACCAAAATGTCCTTCGAATCCGATGCTCATCCAAGTAATTCTTGAAGTTTAAGTGAGCGTCGGATTTTTTAGTTTGGTGAACTTAGTCTCTGCATTAAAGATTTTTTAGTTCAACTTCATTAATTAAAAAATTATACTAATTTACTTGTTTTATGGTTGTTTATTGTCATAACTAAATATTGTTTTCTTACCATTAAAAGTAACAGATATTATATCAGGCAAATATTGCTAGTTTTAGCTTTGTATTAATATCTGTGTTGTATTATTAATTAAAATAAGCACAAGTAATTGTGTTGTGTTTTATAATATTATTGTTACTTCTTTAATACTGTAAGTATAAAAGTAAGAATGCTGACTAGTAAGCCGTAGTGCTGGCAAGATTTATTTTAGAGGGGAGCAGTGGTTCACAATGGATGTTAATTGTATAATGTGATTGAAATTAATTACTGCTGTACACATAATTAATGAAACTTTGTAAGCTGATAAAGATTACTTTGTGCATTTATGAATGGAATAAAATTTCCATTATATTCTATTATTTTTTTCTATTTTCATAATTTTTTGTCTGAGCTATGGGTGCAGGTGTGCTACTTGCACCACCTCATAGCATTCTCGTTTCTAAATTTTCTTTAGGATACAATGGATAATTTGTTTTTTTTTTCTAGCATTTTGTTTTTTATGAATATGTAGATTTACACTTTTAATAGATTTTAAATAGGTCAACTCAGTAAATTGTGCCTGATTTAAGTTAGTAAGACTTTACTGAATCAATATATGGATTTCAACTAATAAAAATGAATCTAAATCTCAAGGGATTTTTTTTAATGGTAATATATCAAATTATTTTCTTACAAAGTATGCAAATTTTAAAATATTTTTAGTGATTATTTTTTGAAATTAAATACAGAAGTTTATTATATTCAATTTTTTGTGTATTTATATTGTAAAAAAATTTCTTAAAAATAATTTTAATATTTGCACACAAACATGAAGTAATGGAAACTAAACTAAAATCATTTGTTTCTAAAAATCATAATTACAACAGTTATTACTTATTATTATTTTATATTTATATTTAAGAATTCTTTCACTGATTAAATATACAGTTTGTGAATGAAATGTTCACATTTTGTTAGGAGCTCCATGCTTGTCCATCTCAGTTAATCCAACCCTGGCTTTTTGCATTGCTGCATTGTTTTATGATGCTTTTTCTTATTATGTTGCATTCATTCTTTATAAAAACAATATTAGTTTATATAACTTATATATTAATTGTAAATGACACTTAATAAAGAATAATTGAGGTTAAGACAAAAGAAAATATTGCAACTGAAAAAAATACAAATGAATTAATAGCAATAGAGTTTCTAAAAAATTAACAGCTGGGGCTTAAAAACACTGATGAAATTGTTGCATTTGTAAAGTGCCGAGAATTGAACTTTGACATGCCATAGTGCTTAAAATATTTGAATTTTTTAGTTTTTAGTAATGTCTCTTTTAGTTTGTACCTGATGTTCCCTTTTAACTGTTCTGTTTCATTTTTGTAAAAAGTCAAACATTTCATGTTAATGATTCAGTCAGTCAAGGCTAATATACTATAGCTTAGTGTTTCTCAATCTCTATTAAACGACTGTTAATGAATCGTCACACCCTTCAACGTAGTATCGTCCCCTTCACTTCAAAATTCCGATGCTGAGGGCCAAGGCTAACGCCAAATTCGTACTGCATTGAATAGACTAGTGACTGGTATAATGTTATTTGTTTAATTATTATACGATATAACGAATAAAATATCCAATTATTCTTAATATAATGTTTTACTATATCGCCCAGAAAATTGTTTTTCGCCCCCAAAATATAAATTGTTACTAATCGCCTCCTCAACATGGAAAAATGCCCACATGGGGCGATATTGCCCCTGTTGAGAAACACTGCTATAGCTTATAGATATTATACTGTAATAATTACTTTACACACAGAGGCAGTCAAGTAGCCTCTAAAGAAAGATCAACTCTTCCATGGTACTGTTAAATCCTTATGTCCATGAAAGGTATGAAGTTTAAGGATACATTTTTTATATATTCTCTTTTGAGAAATTTTCTATATTACTTTACTTTTAAATTTCAGTGAATTTATAAGTAATGTTTCTAATACTGATTAAAATCAGTAGCATAATCAGTGTTTAAATTTAATATGAATCACAACACATTTTAATAAATTTCACTTTTAATACATAATGGATTATATCAGTATTTTATACAAATATGTATAAAATACTGAGTCAATAATTAACTCTTTAATTAAATTATTTTTCTTGTATTTAGCATTTTTATTAAGTTTTATTATTATGAAGGAAGTTGAGCCTGAGGCTTCTCAGCTTCTCCATGCATAAGCCAGTGATTACAATTTGGAATATAGGCAGATTGAATCATGTTAATTTGATTTGACTGAGACAGTGCTTATATTAATAATTGCTTTGGGTAGTAAGCAAATTAAGTATAATTTTACTATTAATAAATCAGTTCTATTTTATTCCTGACACACGTTATTCTAATCATTTATCACGTGTAATCATTTATCTTGAATATAGGATTGAATATGAAAATTTGTTATAGAAACAATAAAGACCTGTTATAAAAATATAAATATCATATATTGAATATATTCTAGAAAATGAGAGAGAATACAAATCAGGAAAAAAAATGGATTGTACTGAAGGACATGTGTCTTTCTCCCTTACTTATAACAAATTATTTAACAATTTCATTCATTCTGTTAAATATATTTGATTATTGAGATGGAGTGATAGTAAAGCCTCTTCTGTATAGTATTTCTATATAGAAGTAAATTCATTCTTAAAATTTAATCAGTTGATTTTTGTTAAACTTTGCCATTTTACATAATATGAGATAAAGAAATTAAAAACTGTAATAAAAATCTGGGGTCCATGATTTTATTTCTGAGATACAGTGTGTTCAAAGTGGCAATATCTCTGCTATGGTAGTGACAAAGTGATGGTTATAGATGGCCCCAAAACAATATCATTTGACTTGCTAGCACTTTAACTCACTTCTTAGTTTATGTTTGGATAGAAAATGATCTCTGCCTAATATTCATCATTTTTGACATGCATCTTCACTAATTTAAATATTAATATTATATATTAGTTTATCATTTGTATTATCATCCACAAGAAAATGCTTCAAAAGTTACTCTTCATATTTTAGAAGAGACATATAGCTTTAGTATTTTAATGATAAATTTCTTTAAGAAAAATGCATGAATATGAATTGAATAAATTTTACTAATATAATTGATAAATAAGTGAAATAATTTTAGGTAATCAAAACTTCAAATAATGCTTTATCTTTTTATTATATCAGTAGAAGGAGAAATATTTGGCTTTTAAGATTTTGATGAATGAATATAAATTGACTTAACAACAGGCTTATTAGACATTATTACATACATTTTTATTTTAATATAATACAGTGTGTCCCTTATTTACAAGTACTGTACTCAATATTTGAGAATTTAATACAAAGAAGATTGTTTTGTTTTCTCTTTCTAACCCACTTACAAGATAAAATACTTGTTATAACAAGTGTTGGCTGATATTTATGAGAATAAAATATTCTAATCACAAGTACAACAAGATTGAAATTTCCACATTCTGTGATTAGATAGTTTGTAGATTCCAATCTGTCTTTTTTGTTTTATTCATGTTCACTAGTGCTATTCAGTCCAATGCAATTTTGTAGTTTAGTGAACTTTGTCTGTACATTACAGATTCTTTAGTTGGCAGTTAGAAAAATTTTTTCGTTAATGAAGTTGTATTTTACTTGTTTTCTGGTTATTTAGTGTTGTAACTTAAGTATTGTTTTCTTACCATTAAATAAATTTCTGACAGTTTATATATTTGTTTTGTATTAGTTCCTTTTATATCAGTGAATAAATTAATCAATGCTTTTATTTATTTTACTTCATTTAGACTAATTGGTTGATAGCTTAGTAGATTTTTTGTCTTAATTCATTTGAGAAACATAAGGTAGGATGAATGGGTTATCCAGAATAAGGTACAGATTTCAGTCATCAGAAATAATGGAAAAGTCTGTCCCTATTTACAAGAATTTGATTTATGAGATATTTTCAGGAATAAGGTGCATTTATAAATTGAGGTCAGACTGTATAATCAAATGCATAGATCAGTTAAATTTTAATAGATTTATTATTTTCTAAAGTTTAAAAAGTTTGTGATGAAACCTGCAATTTGGTGTTAGTATTTAATAGTAAAAAAATTTATATATTGCATCAATGTAAGAATTTGGGTCAATGCAACAATTGTATTAAAATTTAAATTGCTATTTACTATAATTTATGAATAGTGTGTTAATAGTATATATTTTTATTTGAAATTAGATGATTTATTACTGATGTTTAAAACAGTAAATGTGTTTTCTGATTAAATATTATTTTGCTATAATATATAGTATAAGTTTACTCCAGAAATTGATATGTGGTTCTGTATTGTTTTAATAATCTCTTGATAAACATAGGAATTAAGTTCCACTTATATTGGATAAAATTACGATGCTCAAATATCATAGGGAAAGAAATAGTATTACAGTATATTATAGCAGGGGTGGGCAAGCAAGAGTTCAGTGGGAGTGGAAATGTAGGTTTTGCAAAATGCATGAGAGCCACAGTTCTGTACTGCAATTTTATTATATAATATAAATATAATATAAAACAAATATTGAATTTTTTTAATAAACATATTTTCACAAAACTGTGGAAATAAAATTATGAAAATAATAATAATAAGCAGAAATTAACACTTTCAGCAAGAGCCGCATGTAACTCAAAAAGAGCCACATTTCCCATGTGTGTATTATAGTATACAAATATAAATGCTTATAGGCTATAATTGTCTAAAACGGTGGTTCTTAAAGTAAGATTCATAAACCACTTGAGGTCTGTAAACATATGCCAAGTGGTCTGCTGATTAACCTAATCATTTTTCTAAAATGCAATTCTATCATGTTTTAGCCAGAGAAAAGAACATTTTCTTGCATCACTTATCTCAAGTTATTGGATGGACAAAACATTTTGGTGCACAACCTATCATTATCTAAGGTGATATTTACAGAATAAGAAGTGGATTGGAGCAAAGGTGGTATGCAGTTCATCTGTGACTTGCTTTAAATAATGGTCCAAGAATCAATAACTTTGAGAACCATTGTTCTAAAATACATTTTACTTTTTGAACATAAAAAATATATGGTTCACAAATGTGATGATTGCAATTATCTACTGTAAAATCATAAAAGTAATAAACTCCATTTAATCAAAAGATAGTATTTTATTATTTTAGTAATGTCTGGACTGAGTGTGAACACAGCAGTTTATTAAATAAAAATATCCTATCCAAAATAGAATTTACATAACATAATTTCAAACATCATTCTGATTAATTGAAAAGAAATCATTATTCAGATATATATGTTTGAAATATAATTGAAATATGACTATATTTTCAAATTGTATATTATAATAATCATATGATAAAATAACTAGGATAGTTAAGGCTTTCACTATGTTATAATTTGGTGATTGAGCTAATTAATCTATACTAATATTATAAAGAGGTAGTTTGTAAGTTTGGATGTAGGAGGTAATCTCCGAAACTACTCATCCGATTTCAAAAATTCTTTCACCAATATTTAGAATTGACCTTCAGGGTGGACATAGGCTGTATATTATTCTGTTAAACATTCATATAAATTAAAAGATGTCATCTAGATCAGTCTGATGTAGGTAAGCATTACATTTTTGGTGTCATCAGGTGGCTAGGGACAAGACACGTACATATACGAGATAGGTAATCGTGTGAAGCAGTCGCATGGTCAGCGAGATATGCAGTGCACGTGTCCAAACTTGTATATTATATAGATGTCGAAATTCCCCCCCACAGGGGAATGGGACAAAATTAAGGCTTACCGTGAAGAACTCTGCTTCTATTATACTATTTTAGATGCAGTTTTTTGCATTTTTGATCACGTTTTAATAGGGTACATCAAGAGAATGTACACTAAGAAGGGATTTTTCAAAATTCCCTCTCGCGGGGAGGGTTATACATTTATAATATTGATGATACATTTTGAGCCACAGCAATGCATGGCTGGGTACAGCTAGTTTATTAATAAATTGCATATTTCACTGAAAGAAGACAAATCATTTGTTGATAGCCTAACAATAAATTTGAATTAAATTTTGTCATCTGGAAAAAACTTTTACTTTAGTTTTACATCTAGGAGACATGCCAGTTATGTTAGATTTTTTAGTTTGGGATCTATATAAGTGTATATATTAATTGTAGACTGTTATATAACTATAAATGCTTCATCAGCTTTAACTTACATTTTTAATTCATGAATTTTTAATACAGTTAATATTCATTCAGAATTTGTATTGAATGAATGATTGTTGTTTGTGTTGTGCCAAACCAAACAATCACCTTTAATTTAATTGAGCTATTCTTTGTAACAGAAAATAGCCTAATTAATTATGGCAATCATTTGGTTTACTATTAATATATTTAGCTTTGGGATGTTTATATATGTATTGTGCATATATTATTATTATATTGTGCTTGATTTTAAAACTTTGAATAGTTTATTATAATATTTATTTATGATTTACTAAATTCATTAATGAGTTATATTTCTACTACATTAATTTATGATGATTAACAAAATTACTATATTCACATCTTTATTATTTTAATTTTATATTGTAGTATAACTGAAAACTATTAGACTTTTTCCTGGTCCTTTAACCTTCTGTTGATGTGCTGGAAAAGTTGTTGATAATTAACCTAGTCAACACTTTCATATATTTTATTTAATTTAGAATCATTGCTTGACAGATAAATAGGTGTTTTGTAGCACTACAATTTTACTTAAAGAGCATGGGTAGGCTGATTGGATTATATTGAAATTGGGTTCAAATTTTGACTATATGAAACAAGGGTTTCCATATTTACTGGAGATTATTTTATGAGAGTTTTTAGGAATGAGATACAATTGTAGATCAGAATTACACTATAATAGTACTACTACTTAATAGCAATTATATTTATTTGAAAAAATATTAATACATATTGTATATGCATGATAACTTGAACTGTGGNTTGATTGTCGTGCGTAGATTGTCTTATGGTGGAAGCTTGGTCTAGATCAGGCATGGCCAACATACGGCCCGCAGGCCAGACCGGGCCCGTCTAATGAATTTATGTGGCCCGCAATCAATCTTTCAATATTAGGTATTGAAGTCTGAATAGCTCAATGAAAAATTCTGACACCTAAAAAAATGTCAACAACTCTCTGTGCATTTAGAGTTAACCCTCCATTACAAATCTCTTAAGTACAGCATAGAATGTTGATAAAGCATGATAATGTGAAAAATGTATCTGTAATCTCTATCTACAATTCAGTCTCTACAGGGTGACACAACAATGAGATCTCGCACCACCTCAAAATCTTCCTAGGGCAGCCTCTGGTTCGGCCCATGGAAAAGTTTTCTTTCTAATCTGGCCCGGGGGGCAAAAACTGTTGTCCACCCATGGTCTAGATGGACTCGGATGTCATCGTCCATGGCATACCTGACTAGGGCAGTGTTATGTTTAAAAACATTCCAATTTCCACATTCCTATTTAAAGAATCCTGAGGAAGGTCTCCTAAGTAGATTGAAAACATTAGCGGTTGCAATTGATTAACGAATTTGCAATTAATTATCCTGGAATTTTTTAAGGTTCAATTCATTGCTATTTTGTATAATATATTCCAGGCTTGCAGAGTTTGAGATAACTTTTTGTTCAAGAAAAATTGTCATTTTTGCTATCATATTTTGTTAGTCTGTCAAGTAGAGTAGATGAATAGAAATAATTCAAAAAGAGAAAGATAAATAGAAAAATTCAAATATATTAAATTTTAATAAATGAAAATAGAGAGTTTTTTGTTATGTATTAATAACAAACATACTTAAATACATTTTAATAAATTATTTTTTTAGGTAATGCTTTAAAATGTGGCATGAAGCAAGAAAGCAAGAGAAGAAAATCAGGGGGATGATGGTTGATTATAAGAGGAGGGCTGAAAGAAGAAGAGAATATTATGAAAAAATCGTATGATCTTACTCTTGTTAAACTTAATATTTTTAGTGCTTTTTATAAAAATAAAATAAAATGCCATTTATAAAAATAATTGTCATTGTGAAAGCTGAATTTAATCAACACAAAAACATGCTTATTACATCTAGTTAGCATGCATACATTTATACATACATTAGTGATGGCATACATAACAGTCATGTTAAGATAACAACAAAATGATATCACTAGATTAGTTTTCTAGCTAAAATTCTCCTAATTAATATACAGTAGTGTGTCATTTATCCGAAAGCTGATCAACCAAAACGTCGACTAACTGAAAGTGTTCCAGTCAGACTGTGTTGTGCTGAATCGAACGTTTTTGATACTAGATAAATTTCCAAAATATAATTTTTTTTGTTTTTATATTTTTCAATATATTTATTATGTTCGTACAAAATAAAAAAATAATTTTTAACGATACAATAGCCACAATTATTATTTTAAAAGATTTACATTAGGTTTAACATCGATGAAAATTCAATGCAAAGCAACACTCAACAGAGAAAAATTTCAACATGGGATAGGTTAATATATTTTTTCATACATAATCGGTTATCCAAAAAATAAGTTATCCGAATAACCCCAGTCCCCAATTGATTCAGATAAATGATGCTCTACTGTAATAAATATAATGTAATTTGGACTAGAAATAGGCAGTTAGGCCACCATCTTATATTAAGTTTATTATAAAATTAGTGTAGTTATTAAATTTAGTACAAAAGTGCAGCTTAACCTTTGATCTTAATTACATTGGCTACAAATTCTAGCCCAAAAGTTAATCTAGACATCATTTAGTACTTATGTGCTTGGTTGCCTGTATGTATGTAACAAGAAAAATGGATCAAAATAAAAATGCTTGCATAAAATTTCGTAGGGTAGACCTAACTTTAGTCTTCTGCTTTTATGACTGGCATGATATTATACCAAATACTATCAAATATTATCAGCTTAAATTAATTGACAAATAATATGTATCAATAATTAAAGTAATTTTAATAAAGTATATTAAAACAAATAGAAATTTTAAAATTATATTAATTTTTATTTATCTAAATTATTTAGCAATTATAAAGCCAATATTATGACTCATTTTATTGTAAATTAAATATTTTCATTCAGAATAAAATATTAGTTTTTTTCTTAGAAACAGGATCCTGCACAATTCTTACAAGTCCATGGAAGACCATGTAAAATACATTTAGATCCTGCTGTTGCATTAGCTGCAGATAGTCCAGCAACAATGTATGTTATTTATTATAATTTAGATTGTTATAGTGTTGGTATTAGGAAAATTATTTTAAATTATCGATATTTCTTTTAAAATCGACGTCTTTCTTTCTTTCCCTCCCTCCCTCTGTGCTTTTTTTGTAATAAATGCATTGTATATCTTTTTGTTTTTATTAATAGTAGCATTGTATATATTAATTCCCCCCCACAGGGGAATGGGACAAAATTAAGGCTTACCGTGAAGAACTCTGCTTCTATTATACTATTTTAGATGCAGATTTTTGCATTTTTGATCACGTTTTAATAGGGTACATCAAGAGAATGTACACTAAGAAGGGATTTTTCAAAATTCCCTCTCGCGGGGAGGGTTATACATTTATAATATTGATGATACATTTTGAGCCACAGCAATGCATGGCTGGGTACAGCTAGTTTATTAATAAATTGCATATTTCACTGAAAGAAGACAAATCATTTGTTGATAGCCTAACAATAAATTTGAATTAAATTTTGTCATCTGGAAAAAACTTTTACTTTAGTTTTACATCTAGGAGACATGCCAGTTATGTTAGATTTTTTAGTTTGGGATCTATATAAGTGTATATATTAATTGTAGACTGTTATATAACTATAAATGCTTCATCAGCTTTAACTTACATTTTTAATTCATGAATTTTTAATACAGTTAATATTCATTCAGAATTTGTATTGAATGAATGATTGTTGTTTGTGTTGTGCCAAACCAAACAATCACCTTTAATTTAATTGAGCTATTCTTTGTAACAGAAAATAGCCTAATTAATTATGGCAATCATTTGGTTTACTATTAATATATTTAGCTTTGGGATGTTTATATATGTATTGTGCATATATTATTATTATATTGTGCTTGATTTTAAAACTTTGAATAGTTTATTATAATATTTATTTATGATTTACTAAATTCATTAATGAGTTATATTTCTACTACATTAATTTATGATGATTAATTTTTTACAAAATAGCAATGAATTGAACCTTAAAAAATTCCAGGATAATTAATTGCAAATTTGTTNAATTTGAATAGTTACGGCAAAAGAATGTAATAAATTTAAATCATTTCATGAATTTTGATTTTAAACCTAATGAGTATTATGTTAAGTGCAAACAGTTATAAATTTTTTGAAAATCCAAAACAAATTTATAATTGCTTTATGTCAGCAAATATGATAAAAGTATAATTTAACCATAAGGTTTTTTTAGTATAGTTACATTCATATTATTAATTCTTTTGTTTTTAGTGGATAAAATTGTAATATCATTTTTAGAAAATTTTCCTTTATTTATATCTTGATACTTTTTAACAATTTCACAATAATCAAAAATGTATATACACAGTCCAGTCACATTAATATGACCACCTGTCAAAAGCCAGAATAACCACCTTTCGCAGCACGGACCACTGCCAGACGTGCAGGAAGAGAGTCAATGAGGTTCTGGAAGGTACTTGCAGGGATGTGGAGCCTTGCCGACTCGAGTGCCCTGGCCAGCTGCGCTAGGTTGCGTGGTTGAGGATCCATGGCACGAACAACCCAATCGAGATTGGTCCCACAGTTTCTTGATTGGGTTTAAGTCCAGGGAGTTTGGTGGCCAGGGGAGTAGGGTAAACTCATTCTTATGCTCTTTGAACCCTGCACGTACACTGCAAGTTGTATGACATGTTGCATTGTCCTGCTAGTAGATGCCATCATTCTGAAGAAAAACAGTCTGCATGTAGGGATGAACATGGTCCTCAAGGACAGATCTGTACTTCTGTTGATCCATCGTGCCTTCCACAATGATCAGTGCACCTAGAGAATGCTATGAAAACATTCCCCAGACCATAATGCTCCCTCCTCCAGCTTCGACCCTTGCAGCAATTGTTGCAGGGTGTTTGCTTTCAGATGCCTCGCGCCATATATGCCAATGTCCATCTGTCCGATGGAGCATAAAACGTGATTCATTGGAAAAAGCCACCTGTCACCACTCAGTGGATGTCAAGTTGCCGTACTGGCATGCAAATTCCAGCCTTCATCGCCAATGAACAGGAGTCAGCATAAGTGCTTTAACCAGGCGTCTGCTGTGGAGGCCCATACACAGCAATGTTCACCGAACTGTACTCAGTGCGTTTTACCTGTCAATGTGTCAGCCATCTTGTTTTGCCAGTGTGGTTAATATAGACCCGACGTCTCTCGCTTAGGGGGGTCGACCTTAGGTGAAAAGGTTACGACTCCCGCCTTGCCCGTGATCTGTCAGGATGATGCGAGAAAGTCTTTTTACGTTTGGGAGTAGTGGTTTGCTGGATGCTGAGAGACTCACACAGAGACCGAATTTACAAAATTAACGTGTTTATTTTTAGAAAGGCATGCTTACAATGATCGAAACAATCGGGATTGTAGCCTTTACTCCTACAATCACGATCTGTGTTGACCGGACTGTTTTCTTCTAACCTCCCCGTGTCCTCGAAGCTATAACTAGAACGGGCTTATAAGTATTTACTAACGATTCCTTCAACTTCCATCAAACCTAAACGCGTTTTCTCAGCAGCTGCATATATGTGCAACAAATTAAGAAGCAGACTTGGTGATGAGACACAGGATGCGTTGTTATTTCTCAGATCATATTTTCGCAATTCAAATTAGAATGTTCCTATTAGATTAGTTTTCTTTATATTTAAGAAAAATGTGACTGATTAATATTATTTTTAAATACTTTTTGCTAAGAAACTTACTTTACTACCTACTTACTAGGTTGTTATATGAAAGTAGTCTATTTAGTCGATGTTAAGAGAGATTTTTGTTAGTTTTCAACGTTCATTTGCATAGTTTGTTACATAAAGGTTTTTTCAATTTATGTGAGTTTAAAGAGATCTCAGTGATGCTTAAAAAAAATAAATTTAACATGAAGACTGAGTGATTTTAAGTCTGGTTAGTCTGACTCTGAGTCTGATTAGTTAGAATGATTAAATTAGCTAGGTGTATACTGTAAAATATGTTGATTTTTGTCTAAATTTTGATTTATTGATTTCTGTAAGATTTTCTTATTTTTTATTAACCCTCAATACCGAAATAATCCCGGGATCCCGGGATTGATTAAGTATAATCCCGAAATACCGGGATTAAAAATAAGGACCGGGATCGAATTTCCTACCCATGGTGTACCACATTTGCCATGTCGCTGATTTTGGATAGTGCCATTTTGCCATGCATGGTATACTTTTACCAAGGCAGCACGTGAACAGTTTACAAAATTAGCCGTTTCAGAAATGCTTCCATCCCTGGCCCAGAAGCCAATGATCGTGCCCTTTTGGACATCTGATAAATTGCATCGTACATCCATTACGCCATGATTGCAGTGTGTTTTGCTTACCTCAGATATCCTTCATATACCCTCCACTGCAATGTGTTGCTACCTGCCATTTGTGATTAGTTATTTCATGTTGATATCAACAGTAAGGGTGGTCACATTAATGTGACTGGACTGTGTATATTTTATATATATATATATATATATACACACACACACACACACTTTATTTTCTGTAGTATAATTACAAAAAGAACTGGTCGGTTTTTATTTCATAAACAATTAACTAACTCTACTATTGTGATGCTTCATCTCTATTATAAAATTACATTCGTGTGACTTCTTGCAATTGCTTCGTGTCTCATTGTTAATCTCCAAAATTTATTAATGGCTGTTATTATCTGCCTGCAATACTAGACTGGTGTAATAAGTCTAGTATTGCAGGCAGATAATAACAGCCATTAATAAATTTTGGAGATTAGTCTCACTCACTGATATGAAATGTTTTGAGTACAATTCAGACTTCTTAGGAAAAAATAAAATGCTGCAAGTGAGAGGTAACTTCAAATGCATCACAAAATCTGAAAAATCCAAAATTGTAAAGTCAACTGTTTTAGCAAAAGTCAACATTTGACCCTTGATGTCTATAATGTCATCTGAGCTGTCAATTAACCTAAACACCATCTATTTTTTAAAAAGCTTTAATTTTAAATTTTGTTGTAATAGTTCTAACATTTTCTTGTCTTACCATCATTTATTCTGTATTAAATTTTTTATTTTACAATTATTTACTAAATTGTAAATAAATTGTAAAATATTTAATATTTACAAAGAAATGCTATATTGTAAATTGCAACTTAGATATGAAGGGTGTTGCAAAGCAATGTGAATCACTGGTGTTGGACTGTTTACAAGTCTGTGATAAATTCCCTAGTAAGATTATAAAATGTTCATAGTCTAATATAGGTTGTTTTGTTGTAATTGGTAAGCATATAAATAATAATAGAAATCAGTTGTTATTAAATTATGATTTAATCATGAAAAATCATTAAATAATTATTGATCTATTATCATGAAAAATTCATTTTGAAAAATGTAATTAAGAAGTGATAACTTGCACCTAAATACGGTTTATTTTTATTACTGAATTACTTTCAGTTAAACCTATTTTTGTTTTTTATATTTTTGATTTATTCTGTGACATTTAAAATATCAATCTTACAAATGAGCTGAGATGATGATTAAGTGGAAAGTGTTGAAATTTGATTATAACTGTTTTATGAAGAGTTTCATACACTTATGTAATGTCTGTAAATAGCAAATTAAATTAGTGCTGCAAAAGAAATTGAATATAGTTTTGGATTATAATTTAAATTTATATACAAATTTTGTAACTTAATAAATATTTTTAAAATATAAGTAAATATTTAACAAAGATATCATTTTTATTACAAAACTTATTATTACTTATTTTTTTTTTTTTTATTAAAGATTGTCTGCAGAAGAAATGTTTGAAGATAGACAAGTATGCTATGAAAGATATCGTACACTGGTACAAAATGATTTTTTGGGTGGTAAATATTCCTAAGTTTTATATATTGAAATTTTATTATTTCTTATCTACTTTTAATAAAAGTTTTTGATTTTTGTACAGTATCGGAAGATAAATTTCTCTATCAAATTTATTTGGAGGAACATTTTGGACCTGTTGTAAAGTCTACTGCTGAAGAAGACAAAAAAAGGTTAGATATGATTGTTTTTCGTTAGTTGTAACCTTATGAATTCTGTATGATGTAAATTTTTGATACACACTATGTTAAAAAAATGATATTGTCAATTCTTTAACTTGAAACTAATGTAGTGTTATTAAGTTCTATTGAACATTTTTTTCAAAAATTAATGTTTAATGAAAACTCCTACCATGTTTCCCCGAAAATAAGACAGTGTCTTATATTAAATTTTGCTCTGAAAAATGCGCTAGGTCTTATTTTTAGGGAATGTCTTATTTTTTCCAAGAAGAAGAATTCACATTTATTATTGAACAAAAAAAATTCCTAAATCGAACTTAGACGAGAGTGACGTATATCCGGTGTGTCCAACTGTCGCCTTTTTATAGCGTCAACATCGGACTCGATGACCAATTAGTGCTTACTGAACCGTAGCACTATGCAAATGTCATGTGGCGTGATTCCCAGCCGACCAATTAGCCATCACCAGCCATAACGTTATGCAAATCTGTGATTCCCAAGACATAGTCTTATGCAAATCATGCCGTGTGGCGTAATTGTCTGTTGACCAATCAGTGGCTGTACTTTCCAAAAGCCAACGGCCACTTTCAACCATCTGTCCATGACCGTTACGACTAAAAAAACTTCGCTAGGTCTTACTTTCAGAGGGAGGTCTTATATTTCGCAATTCAGCAAAACCTGTGCTAGGTCTTATTTTCGGGGAAACACAGTAGTGTTACACTCTAAGCTCTACTTCTATACATTGTCAAAAATAATTTGCTTTTTAATAATAATAGTAATATGTTTAAAATGAATTTATTTGGCAATAAATATCTGAATTAAAATTTCTGATTGATGATATTCCTTATTTAGTTAACTTTGCAAGATTATTTTTATATATAGGGCATTGATGCTGTTAAATTTTGATAGTTAAGGTCAAAGGGTTGGGGAAATGGGTCATATCCTTGAGTGGGGTCTGACCTTGAAAATTTTACTTGTTATTTGCATTTATGTTTTCTTTAAAAACTCACCCCACTTCAAATTACATTTTTGCCTTTTTATAATAATATAAAAATTATTTTTTTTATAAAATTTCATAACAGGTGGTGCCATAATTGGTTTTATTTATTTATTTTTAATATTATTTTTGAAAAATAGAGAAATTTATGATGATTAACAAAATTACTATATTCACATCTTTATTATTTTAATTTTATATTGTAGTATAACTGAAAACTATTAGACTTTTTCCTGGTCCTTTAACCTTCTGTTGATGTGCTGGAAAAGTTGTTGATAATTAACCTAGTCAACACTTTCATATATTTTATTTAATTTAGAATCATTGCTTGACAGATAAATAGGTGTTTTGTAGCACTACAATTTTACTTAAAGAGCATGGGTAGGCTGATTGGATTATATTGAAATTGGGTTCAAATTTTGACTATATGAAACAAGGGTTTCCATATTTACTGGAGATTATTTTATGAGAGTTTTTAGGAATGAGATACAATTGTAGATCAGAATTACACTATAATAGTACTACTACTTAATAGCAATTATATTTATTTGAAAAAATATTAATACATATTGTATATGCATGATAACTTGAACTGTGGTGATGTAACCATCATATAATTTTCAAGTGGATAGGAGCCATTCCACTACAGTAGAGCGTCGTTTATCCGAATCAATTGGGGACTGGGGTTATTCGGATAACCGATTATGTACGAAAAAATATATTAACCTATCCCATGTTGAAATTTTTCTCCATTGCGTGTCGCTTCGTGTTAAATTTTCATCAATGTTAAGCCTAATGTAAATTTTTATAATAATAATCATGGCTATTGTATTGTTAAAAAATTTTTCTTTATTTCGTACAAGCAAAATAAATATATTGAATAATATAAAAACAAAAAAAATTATACTTTACAAGTTAATCTAGTATCANTAATCATGGCTATTGTATTGTTAAAAAATTTTTCTTTATTTCGTACAAGCAAAATAAATATATTGAATAATATAAAAACAAAAAAAATTATACTTTACAAGTTAATCTAGTATCAAAAATGTTCAATTCAGCACGACACAGTCTGACTGAAACACTTTCGGTTAAACAATGTTTTGGTTGATCGGCTTTTGGATAAACGAAACTCTACTGTATATATGTGTGTATATATATATATGAGGTAATGGATATGAACACAATTTGGAAACCCATTAATTGCAACTAGTTTGTGTAACATATATCTACAAATATACAGAAATGTTAAATAAATTTAAGTGTCTTTTACAATAATAATTTCATTACAATTTTTTTTACTCTCTTATGTTCCTGTTAATGCAACAGCTTTTTTGTTGCTTGCTTAACTTCATATAACTATCTGTTTGAAGCAATATCATTACAGAACAATATCACATTTTTTTAATAATTTGTCCTCACTTGTGAATTGATGTATTGATGCCACCATCCTGCCTTCTCAAAACATATGCACCAGTTGAAACTACCTATAATGTACAAATTAATATCTTACTCAATATGTTATGTATTCTTTCAAACATACAATACAATAACTTTTTTATATTCATCTTGAAATCAATTAAAGTTTAACTTAATAATTATAGATTGGCTGACAAGAAAGTTGCAATTGGTTATGTATATGAAGATTCTCAACCCCAGTTAATGCATCATCACGATGATGACGACGACGACGACGATGATGATAAAAAAGATGATTTGAGTGATATTGACTTAGGTTAGCATTTCTTTATAAATAATTTGATTTTAATATTTATTATAAAGAATATTTTGTGTATTTGAATTGTAATGAGCATATTTGCAAATTTTAATAATTAAAACTTTTTTTTTCTTTCAGATGTAACTTTAGATGTTGACCAATTAACAAATGAACAAAGTGCAGAAATGAATGAAAATTCTACAAAGTATGGTATGGTAGGAGATGATTTTATTAGGTGAGAGATTTTAAAATGTAAAAAAAGAATAATTAAATCTCAAGTTCAAGTTGAATCTCAATGTATAATCTGTTATCAAACTTTCTTTAAAATATTTAAAAAGTTGTTAACTTCTCTTACCTACTATAATCTTTTGTAAGTTTTACTGAATCATAATAGAAAATTTTTTCTAGATATATTTTATATAAACTACACTAATTTTATTGTTAAATGTGTTATGGACTTAATCTAAAGAGTTGTGCTTCATTGTTGTTTAATGAGTATTGTTCAATAATACAAATCAACATCCTCATTTTAAATATGTTAGACCCTTGATTTAAGACTAATTGGGGGGAATTTATATCTTCTATTGTCAAAAGTTTGTTAAATTAGATGTATTTTAAACATAAATATCAATAATGAACAATGTACAGGGTATTTATACTTATAAATTATAATAATATTACTATAATGTACATTGAGTACTTTACACATATCACTGAAACATTGTTAAATATATGAAGGTATATCAAGAACCAACTTTATTTTAAACAGTCACATCAAAAAATATACAACGTAACTAAAGAAGTGTTTCTATCACTAATACTAACTCATTGAACATTTTAATGTGTTCTATTTGTGAATAGAAAAAAATGTTCTAAATTTTTTCTTTAGGACAGAAATGTTTTATCCATTAAGTTCGAAGTTTGTTAAATTAGGGTCTGTTAAACCATGGTGATACTGTATATTCTTTTCTATGTTCTATATCTTACGATCATGATTATATTTTTTCATGCTATTATATTTTAGCAAGTCTTAATATCTTTGATGCTATTTTGATTTTCTTAGCCAAATTTTTTGGTTTAAAATATAAATTATATCAATGAAATAAGTTTTCTTATTAAGCCACTTTACTATAACATTGATAATTTCTTTAATTTCTAAATGTAATACTGAAATTTAGAGTTCGGTTAAATTTTCAGATACTATTATGATAAATAACTGTTGTATAATTTTCTTTCTTTCTTTCTTTCTTTTTTTTTTAATGCAATTAATAATGGTCATAACTATAATCTAGTATTTTTATTTTTAGCTTTTTACATCAAGATAAAGAAGAAACAGAACAATTGCGACTTGCAAAAGAACTAGAAGAAGAAAAGGCTATGTATTCTGTATGTTTATATCTATTCTAAAATAAAGAATATTCTTATTATATATAAAAAAAGTTTTCATATAAAACAAACATTTTAGGGGAGAAAATCTCGTAGAGAAAGGCGTGCTTTGCGCGAGAAGAAACTTCAAGGTAGAAGAGTAACTAGTCCTCCAAGGTAAATCAATTATATTATTAATTTTCATTTATAATATAATTTTTTTTTTTCATAAAAAAATCCAATGTGTGTTGTTTATTATATTCAAAACTGTTAAAGCATTACAGTATTCTTCTGAACAACTTTATTCTATTTAGTTCTTTATATAGTGATGGCCAAAAGTTTAGCCATAGCCACAGATGAACAAAACTTTCATTAGATTACATTCATTAATAAATGCAACATTGACGATTATTTTCGTTCACACAATGGATAGTAAACAAACAAATTAAAAGAATTTTGTAAAATTGTTTATTAAAGAATTATATTAAATTATTTTACAAAATTTTTAATATTTATATTTAACTTTTTTTTTATTTTAATGATTACAGTTTATCATTTTTAAATCTATATTTAATGCTCTTGAATTTTTATGATTGAAAAACTATTTTCATAATAGAACTATGCTTTTTCATTAAACATATTAACAACTGCATTTTACTAAATTTATAATTTAGTAAAATGCAGTTGTTAATATTATTTCAATATTATTTAATTCACCTGTTAGTCTATAACTTATAAAATAACTTATTAAGCAGATTGCTCTTATTCCAATTATGTTGCAAATTAAATAAATGCTTTCATTTTGACTGCTCAAAAAAACTTGTCATAATTATTCTAAAAATTTATTAGTGTGAAATTTATTGCAAAGTTAAATGTTTAAACTTAAAAATTTTCATGAGCTTTTTAAATTTCATAATCATTAAACTCATTTTTCCATTAATAAAATTAAGACAAGTTGTCATAAACAGTCACCTTTCTTTTTACTTTTTTATTCTACAATTACGTGTTGATAACACTGGTCCTTATTTGTTGCTTACATGCTGTCTAAAAGTAACAAAATTTTTAAAAACAGAAGTGGAAACAAAATGGACATTTTTGCCCTTGCATCATATGAACATATATTATTTTGAACTTTTAATAAACAAAAGAATGCTTATAACAAAGGAAGTAATATGTGAAGTTTAAAGCTAATTTTTTTGTTACTGTCTCACAGTTTTAAAATATAAACTATGGACAGGGTACAGCACCAAAATCCAGACAAATTACACATTTTTTTCCAAACATATTTTTTATTGCAAAAAGCGAAAAGGTTTACAAATTTTTTTTAACATTATTTGTAAGGCCATAAAGAATACATTTACTCAATATATCCCCCTCCTGCTTGACTGTCTCCATTCTTGGTCTGAAGCAGGTGCAGGTGCACTTTAATGTGTCACAGTCCATATCGGCAAATTCCGCATCAGTAGTGGCTCTCAATGATGCATGGTTTGGATATCAGGACTTGTTTGTGACCCTTTCAACTACGCTTCATACATAGCAGTCCAAAGGATTCAAATCAAGGCTGTTGGGAGGCCAGAATTCTTTTGACCAAAACATGTCGATGTTGTCCAACAACCAATTTTGCACCAAATGACTCACTTTAATTGTGTAAAACTTGTAGCAAAGATCCTCCTCAACGATTTTATGTATAGTTTTCTCGCTCGTACCAACAACCGACGACAATTTTCGGATTGACTGACCTGGATACTCAAAAATCAGCTCCTGAGACTGTTGAATGATTTTAGGCATCCTGACAATGCACTCCTTCAAGTGAGTTTTCCTCACTGGTGTTGTAAAACCTTCATTGGACTTTTCTCACTCATTGTATTTCGCGATGACACCATACACAGTCAATCTTGGGTATCTGAAGAACTGAATAATTTTTGTCGCCAAGTGCCCAGCGTAAACACTTTTGATGATCTTGGCTTTTCCATAATACTCCACACTTGGTTTCAACATTGCAACCGTTTCAAGGTTATGATGATTTAGTACATGTATCAAGATATTTGAATGCCAAACACAACATCTACCTGTGATGTAGAACAGCAGGAATTTGAAGTTGAATTTTGTCCAGATTTTGGCATTGCACCATGTATATTATAGGAAAATTAAATTTATTGAGAAACTCATCATAGGTGTTGTAAAATTAATGATAATAAACTAGATTTTACCAATAGAACAAGTGATTAACAGTTAAAATGCTTATTAACTTATGAGGCAGCTTTTTAGATATTACGTGATTTGTATGCTAAGTATTAAATGAAGAAATATACAGTGGAACCTCACTTAATGAACATAATTCGTTCTAAAATCTTACTCATAATGCGAAACACTTGTTAAGTGAAACAGTTTTTTCCATATAAATTAATGTAAAATATGATAATGGATTCCATGCCAAAAAAAAAGAATACTCAAATATTTTATGTATAATGTTTATACAATATTGTGAGATTCAGCCGTGTTTATTAACCTACCGCCTGACCTAACTCGTGAACAATAATAAGTTTATCTAGAAAGTATCAAATTTCACACCTGGGAGTTAATTACTCAGCCAGTTCTCAGTCGCGAAAAGACGCTTTCACATAACCTTCTGACCTATTATTGCTAAACTGTCAAATGAAAATAGCGACAATCGGAGGTTTTCGACACAGTCGCTGCCGTTCCTCTAAAAGAAGCATCCACCAGACCCGTTCAATACCTCCTATTTGGATTATTCCGTAACAACGAACTTATAACGAAAGTGCCTATTTGGATTCTACCGTAACAACGAACTTAAGTGCCTATTTGGATATTTCCGTAACCCAGAACTTGGAAGTGACATCGTCAACAGCGGTTTGAAGACCTCGATCCATAAGATAACCTGTCAGGTATTTATCGCCACGCGAATCGTATGTAAACTCTCTCTCTCCGCGACCACACTTTATTACATTTAAATTTTTAATAAACCCTTTGTTGATTGTTAAGGGTAGTTCGAGTCTCTTCCCTATGTTAACTCTGACCTGTCGAATCCGACTGTTCGCGTACGGGACCGCTCGCGCGACGGACGACGAAATCGCCGTCTCGGCTTCCGTGTTCCTCTAAACACGGTGGTGTCAATCCTGACTGGGCACTAAGGAGGTGCCGACCCGGAAGGTCACAATATATATTGTTAAGAAGTGTGAATCATCATCATTTCTTCTAGTACAGAATGAAGTAATCTGTAATGTGAATACAATTTGCAGTAAACAAAGTTGAAAAAATATGTCTCAAACAGCCAAACGATATGCCAAATTTTTGGGTATGTAAAGGCTATAATTAAATATTAGAAATTAATTAATTTGACTAGAGATAGGCAGTTATGCTTCCATCTCATATTAAATTTAATAATTATAAATAATTAATTTTTAATTTAGACATTTCTAAAATTTAATTTGGAATTGGTCATTAAATTTAATACGAGATGGCAGGATAACTGCCTACCTCTAGTCAAATTAATTTTTAATATTTAATTATAGCATTTACATAGCCCAAGAATTTGGCATATTGTTTGGCATGTTTATTATATAATGGGTTATGGTTGTTCATGTTTATATGTAATATGTCTGAACATGAGTTTGGAAAAATGTGTGATCACGAGCGACACTGAGATGCTAGCGGAATGAGTGCTAAACACAGACTGATGTAGCATGCACATAATCCAGAATTCCCTTCTCCTCGTCACTTGTTTTGAGAGATGTTCATTAAGCATAGCTCCACTGTATTGTTTTTTGAATATATACAGTACATCATATAACATATAATTTCATTTATAATGTAAATGTTCATTTTTACACTAAACAAATGAGAAAATAATTTTCTAACTGGAAAAAATTCAATATATTAGTTTCATCATAAATCTCAATCAATCTCTTAAGTGAAATAATGTTTTCCAAAAATTACATAAATCTAAAAGTATGTAAGAAAACAATTTATTTAAATTATTCAATATTGTTATGTATGTTCTGATTTAATTTAATAAATTAATTTGTAAGCTTTTAATAATAATCTGTGAAGATTTTAAATTTACCGATAAAAATTTTATAAATTTCTCCACTTCAATGTTTACTAAAAATTAAATTTTTTGTGTTATAGTTATGCTGCAAGAGAAAGTCCTACGTATAAACCATTTCAAAGGTAACAAATTTTTCCATTTTCATTTTTTTAAAGTTAAACTATTAGACAATTTTTGATACTTTTTGAATGTTGTGTATATTATAAGCATAATTCATGATTTCAGTTTTTAATGAAATTATTGTTAAATAGTTTGTTCAAATTAGTCTAGCAATACTTTCATCAACTTTCCAATGTAAAGTTTAGAATAAATTACTGTATTATTGTGTGAATTACCTGTAGTAACATATATCTGTAGTGCTGCTGAGAAGCAGACCTTTTAGAAGCATCTGTTGAATGCATGACACATACCAATAACCAGTTTAAAAGGTATCATCTCAAACGCTAAAGCATTGTTTTATTAGCAATATATTTTAGATGCAATTAAAAATAATTGAAACTGAAAAATGGAATAGACATATAGACATAACCTTCTTCTAAATTCCATAAGTGTAGAAAATACAAAAACAATGTTTTTATTTCTTTCTCACTGTTTTATTTATCAAATAATAATAGAAAATATATAATAATACATACTAAACAAGCACAACACTACACAAGTAGAAGTTCATTAATTTGGTAATTTAATTTTCACAGTCTATGAAAAGTAACCAATAATCTGGAATTGTCTAATGATACAGTAATTTTTCCTAGTGAAAATAGAGTACATTTCTGGAAAATAAATAGACTACACCCATGAATCATTGTGAATGTTAATTTTGTACAATACATGTTCAATAAATTTTTTGCATATTTTGAATCAACCTTTTGTTTTGACTAAAGAGCATGAATAAGCAAATATTAATAGGAACCATACAACAACATATGCTGGAACAAATTGTAAAGGAAATCAGCAAAGTTCATCCCTGTAGACTGTTTCTTTTCAATTTTTATAGCAGACAGATGCACACATTCATAAATATATATGTACTAGTAGATGTGTAGCCATTGCTGCCCTCTTGTGTAAAATCTCACCTCTATATTACCTTTTAAAAACCTTTAATAAAGCCTCTAGACTGTTTTTAGTTTTTATAAACTAAATTTATTATCAGCCTAAATAACACAGTAACAACTACTACTGTACCTTATATAAACTAGATGACTCCATTTCAATTAATTTTCATAATCAGTTGCATGCATAAAAAAGTAATAAAAGTTTCACATCTTATTGTAAAAGTTAGAACAACATTAGAATAACAAAAGATCATTGAAGACACAATTATAAAAGGTTTTCAGAAATGTTTCACCAACAATGGATAGAACAGGGAAAATGTATTTTTCAAGGAAGCCGAAGATTGTGATGGCAATGAAATAGAAAACAGGAATAATAATAAAAGTTCTGATGAAAATGAAAGTGATAGTACAGGTAGCCCTCGGTTTACGCCGCAGTTCCGTTCCTACAAAAGCCGGCGTAAAACGAACCCATATTTACAGTGAGGTATAGGGTTAGGTTCTACATAAGTGAAAAATAAGCTAATAATTTTGTTTATTAATACAATATAATACAAAATACACATAAATTTAATTTTTAAAATGTATTTTAACATAAAATAAAGTAAAATGTTTTTATTTTAAAATTTTAGTTTCGAATTTCTTACATTTTTCGGAAAAAAAGTATCTATCTTTAATTGTTTATATTTTTGATTTCTTTCATTAAGAATTTCAGAATATGGTTGAATATGATGCTCATTTTTACATTTGCACTTCGCTCCCAATCATTGTCTAACTCACAAACTTCATCCATCAAACTTTCCTTAGTTGAAAGGATATGTTAACCCGACGTAGAGCTACAGACGAGCAAAGACACTGATTGGTCGACCACCGGTCGCCATAGCACATATATAAGGTCAGTTTGAGCAGGAAAATTCAAGATGGCTAAGGAGAGATAGATATCGTCTGGCTAATAAAAAAGTATCGTCTGTCCAACGAGAAGTAGATTTGTCTCACTAACGATGATTTGTGATCGCCGGAAGTGCTATTGCGTCATTCTGAATGAACTGAGGGTGCGACTATGCAGACGCGAGCGAGCAAATTTTTCGAGCGAGCGAGAATATGTGGCGAGAAGAGGCGAGACGCAATAAATATCAAAACCTGTCAGATATGTGCGAGAACCAGAAATTTGCTCTTGCTAGCATTATTTCTCTCTTTTCATTTCTGCATGGCTTTCCTTTGCGAAAACTAAATCGCTCGCAACCTCTCGCTCTCTCTAAATTCGTGTCTGCATAGTTGCACCCTGATACAGGATACATTCATTGGCGCTATGGATTCGGACACCATTTATTGGACTATTAAGTTTAATATCTTGACTCGTGGGTACCTAAACGTTTAGTATTTTAATATTAATTTAATGCAAATGTATACATGCCCAATAATATTAAACAGAAAAAATAAATATTTTCAATAAAAATCTTTGTTTTAATGAATGCACAATGTCGCAGCTCGGTAAATACGTCAACACTGAAATGAAAATCAGTCTAGCATAGGGAAAATCAGGGAATTACACCTCGAAATGGCGAATTGCGCAGCAGCGTTATTGTGAATCGGCGTAAATTGAACCAGCATAAACCAAGGGCTACCTGTATTATTTCAATGACTTTTCAATTTTTTTAATGCAAATTGCTAACTTTTTGTTTGCAGACATAATTAATAATAAAAGGTCAACTTATATTTGGATTCTAGTTTTTTCAAAAAGTAAGAATTCCAAAATTGGAGTTGACATATATTTGGGCTAGTAGAGTATATAGATTTTAATTAATAACTAAGCAGAAACTTCTTGATCGGAAATTGCAATTGTAATGTGTAATATATATCCTCTATAAGCCTTAAGGCCAAATGGCCAAGTAGTCAAGATGGCAGCCTACCACTCTGGGGACTCAGGATCGAATATAGATGGGTCGAAAAATCCCTAGGAATTTTTCGGGGGTGGTCCATTCGGCTATGTCAGTCCCTCACCACTCAGTTGCCCCTCTGTGGCCTGGCCAAACCCGTAATGGGCTTGCTAAAAGAGGCCTTCTTAGTGCCCACAGGGTGGAAGAGTTTTTAAAAAGTTTAAAAAAAATCCTCTATAAGCCAAATTGTACATGCCTGTAAGGTCTCTCTAGTCACTCAAAAAATTCCAGTTACAATTGATCAAATATTTTTATTTTTTCTGAAACTAAGCAGAAGTGAATAACAAAGTAATGCTATTATGTGTAAACAAGGCAAAATATTAGTCAGGTTAGAGTTATTGATTTAAATGTTTATAATTATATATAGTTGTGGCTCAAAATGTATCTATTATAAATGTATAACACTTCTCCCGTGGGGGAAAATTTTTCGAAAAATTCTTTCTTAGTGTACATTCTCTTGACGTACCCTATTAAAACGCAATCAAAAACGCAAAAACCCACATCTAAAATAGTATAATAGAAGCCAAGTTCTTCACAGTAAGCTTTAATCCTGTCCCTCTCCCCCGCGGGGGAAATATCGAAAAATCCCTTCTTCGTGTACATTCTGTTGACGTACTCTATTAAAATGCAAAAACCCGTATCTAAAATAGTATAATAGAAGCCAAGTTCTTCACAGTAAGCCTTAATTGTGTCCCTCTCCCCCGCGGGAGGATATCGAAAAATCCCTTCTTTGTGTACATTTTGTTGACGTACCCTATTAAAATGCAATCAAAAATGCAAAAACCCGCATCTAAAATAGTATAATAGAAGCCAAATTCTTCACAGTAAGCCTTAATCCTGTCCCTCTCCCCCGCGGGGGAAATATCGAAAAATCCCTTCTTTGTGTACATTCTGTTGACGTATTTTATTAAAACGCAATCAAAAACGCAAAAACCCGCATCTAAAATAGTATAAATAGAAGCAGAGTTCTTTACGGTAAGCTTTCCCCGTAAGGCTTACCATAAAGAACTGTCCATCCCCCATGTTTAACGGAATAATATACAGCCTATGTCCACCCTGAGGTTTCATTCTAAATATTGGTGAAAAAATTTTTGAAATCGGATGAGTAGTTTCGGAGATTACCTGCTGCATACAAACTAACATACATACATACATACATACATACATACATACATACATACATACATACATACATACAAACATTACATCTTTATAATATTAGTATAGATTAAAATTTCAAGTCCTTTGTCTTAATCATTAGTGAGACTAATTATTCATCAAAATGATTTTGAAAAGTTTATCTTCTGTTGATAGCCTGTATATACAATATACAATATATACAATATTTTGTATATACAATAATAATAATGAACACTAAAACTAAAAAAAAATTAAATATTAAAATTTTGAAATGTTGTTAACATTTGCTGACATGAGTTTGAAAGTTAAAAGTATGGATTAATGCAAAAAAAATGAACAGAAGAAGAGAACTAAGGGTGTAATGTGTTTGTGATGATGTAAGGAAAAATTATGGATGACAGATAAATGTCTACTGTGTATTAAGTACTTTTTATGTTTTTATAAAGAGTATCTTTACTCTTTGTAACTTTAGATAAAAGCAAAACTGCTTAATGAGTTTGTAATTGCAAGTTAAAATCAGGAGATAACCTACCCCCACTTGAAATTGACTTTTTTAAATACAGAATCTCACATGTTAGCCATGCGAAATTACAGTATATGATTTTTGAGGTGAAATAAATGTAAAATTTATAAAACCAATCTTTTACTTTTCTTTCTTTCTTTTTTTTATGAAACATATTTAGACTCTTTTATGATTTAAAATACTTAATAGTAATTTGTGTGGTATATTTTTGTATTATTTAAGTTTTAATTCCTTTATTCAGATACTATATTAATTGATAATATAAATCAAATTAATACTTTATATAAACAGTTACAAAACATTTGTTTATTCAATAGTTTGACAGTAGTAGTAATATAGAAACATCCCCCTGCTTGATTTCTTCTAATTTAATGTTTTTTCAATAAAATGTCTCTTGATTTTTAATACCAAAATTTTATAACGTACATTAATAGTAACTGTTGATAAAACATTTTTGGTTGATGTTTATGTAA